TCATCAGCAGTGCGAATCTTACAAATATCTGTGAAAACTAGAGCACTTAACCCTCCGTTTGGTCACCGGCGGCTGATAAACAGTGTGGTCAACTCCCACTCATGCAGGATATCGTGCCAGTGCTGACGGTTACGTACAATACTTCTCCTTGCCGCCTATACTGGCTTCATTTACAGGACAAAATCCCGATTGGACTTCCCAAACCCCATAGTAATATAAACAGACTACAAGTGTCACAGAAGGAGAAAAATTCACTAGTTGCATGAATCTTCAACAGGAACACCAGAGAGCCAGTCCCTAAATAAGCTTAAAACAGCCAGGTGATCCTCTTGAAACTTTCAAGGGCGCATTTCGTCTGATCTCCCGCTACCTTACTGAGAGTGAAGCTGTCAGAAAATATCATGACACGGCCCGAAGTGGCTAATGTTTGTTCCTCATAAAAATCTTATTTGCAGTGATGAGTTTTTGGTGGTTTGGATTCGATTGAAAGGCATCATAACCTGTCTGTTTACGCAAGCCCATCCTTTGCGATGCGTGCAGAGGCTGAGTTGCCTAACCAGAAACGAATTACGCGGCACTTCTAGCTGAATTCATCAGCAACTTTTTGTTTACATAGTACGCTGGACACATTTCAAAATACCATGTGCAATGTCAGTAGGACATTGGCCGAGGGCTATTAAAAAGTTTGAAAAAAATTACGGACATTCCAGGCGGGTAGAATGAAATCATGATAAGCAAACAGCTATTTTTACACAAAATCGCACCTAATTCCAGCTTCCCAGTTGGGCAAACCGATTGGCAGCAGTGAGATGGTCCAAGTGGTCAGAGCACGAATTTATTAACCCGGAAGGTCCATGGTTTGAACCCGGCCTCTGCCTCTTGAATTCCCCTGTTTAGGCTTGGGCAACCTGGCAGTATCCTAGCCCTCGTGCTTCCCTCGGGTAGCATGGGAGCTGAGAGGTTTGACTTTTTCTTAGTCTGAATCATATATTCGGTCCTTCCACTCGTGCTTCCCTCGGGTAGCATGGCAGCTGAGAGGTTTGACTTTTTTCAGTCTGAATCATATATTCGATCCTTCCATCTGATTAGTAAAAAGGATCCCAACTCGCCTCTACTACATAGTAGCGAAGTCATTTGAAATGTTTGCAATACAACATGGCAGTAACGCCTACAACCAAACAAGGATAACACACCTGTTCATTAGTCGTAGTCTATATTCGGTCGGTCAGATTGTTTTACATTTTCCTCGTGAGTGACTACAGCATTAGCGGCTCGGGTGGATTTGGATTCCACGATATATGAATAAACGAGTTGCGCTCTATGATCCACAGTGTGCACCCGACAATCATGTGCTACACTGATGGTATCTAGGATCATTTTTATGCAGTTGTCACGTCTGTGTGAAAGTTGGTTCACTGAACTCACGCATCATTCGCCTCTTTGACTCGTAGCACTGACCCCGAAACGCGGCAACACACAACATCCCTTTCACGTCAGGTAAAAACATGCGAAACTGCGACAAGCGCCGTGTTGGTATGTTAGCTCAACTCCCACTAGCTTTCTACTGTCCCCCGTTTGAATCTGTTTCCATTCAGCTATGCGTCAACTTGGGCTAACTGAGGCTCCGACCTTTGATGTTCAACACAGTAAACAACGTGACATTGTATGAATGGGACAGGAAAACACGCATTTCTTTTGTTGTAGACTGGAAGCGCGCTAGTTTCCATGCCTAAGGGTGAGTCAACAGTACCAGTCCACTTTCAGTGACAGTATTACAGGGACGAAAAATAACAGATCCACCAAAGAGACAGACATTTGATTAACACTGTTAATTTGTCCAAGTTAATAAAAATAATTTTTTTCAAAATTGGTCAATTAATTTAACGTCCCACTGAAATCCTTCGATTTGAAGTATGAGGTTCATACGACCAAATGGCAACTACGTGTAAAGCTCTTGTTCTAACTTCCAGCAGGCTAGCTTCCAGAATCCTCAAAGTCCCCAAAAACCAGCCGGTATCGACCTTACCTTTTGGTACCTGCAGTTCTTTATATCATCGACAGTTCTATCGTAACAGGTGAGGGGTGAGAGTGCCAAGCTACTAAGTAATTTCATTTGTTGGAGGCGACTCTCCAAATCGGTGTGAAGTGAATAAATGCACCAGTAACAGCTTTCTTTATTGTACCATAAAACCGTGTTTGCACTTGCGGCGAATTCTCAAGTGCCCTCTGTCCACTGGGATTGATTGTATAAACCGAAGCGTGTGGTCAGCTTTAAGTCAGTTTGTTGTCAGTTTGACTCAGATGGGGAGAAACTGAACTAACCTTGCCATCACTGTATTTCCGTACTGTCCATATGAGTGCTTTCGAAACCGTTTCGTTTTGAAGTAACTGCTGACTTGTAATAGAAAATCTTCAGAACTTTTGATTACGCTTCAGATAAGTGAAGCTAATTGGAATTTCCTCTCTTTCTCTCTTCAGGGGGATTTAAATCAAATTGTGCCTCAAAAACTGCACCAAATTGAGTGTTCTAATTTTCAACAAAAGCTCCCAAAGTCGAACTAAGGGTGGTCTTTTTTATGAGGATCGATTACTTTGAAACTTCATCGTTTCAAGAGGGGATGAAGACACTGAATTAATACCAGTTGGACCAAGCCCTGTCTGAACCTGCAAATCTGAACTTTTGAACTGATTTTTTACTGTGTTGTTGAGTGAAGACCTAACCATAATGCATTTCCGTTTCACCACGTCTGTCCGTAAAGGAATGGGATGATAAAATTTGAAATGCAACGAGAATTTCTTGGAATCTATTGTATTTATTGACCTAGGAATCATAAAATGTGTGAAGACCACTAGAACTGTTAGTTGGTACTGTTGCAACATCTCATAGATGCGCTACTTCAGTCGCACAAAGGAATTTCGTACATTTTGAGGCCTCTACTGCTGCTATTCATGTCAGCAAACAATCATTGTACGTCGACGGCAGACTACTATCACAAGTTATACTGATTTCCAACTGTGCAAATTGGACTGCGTTTTTTAAGTCTCTCACTTGGCCTCGGGTAAATATCATTTAGAACGGGTTCCAATTCACAGCTAATTTATGTCGCCCATTGTGTCGCTAAGCCCCTCGTACTGAACTCACACAGAGTTTGTTCTTTGAACTATGACATTAATCGATTGTGTCCAGTTGACTCCTTTTTTGAGAGTAAAGAACCACTAGCTACTAAATACGCCGATGCCTTCATTAGGTGTATTCAGAAGCAAACACAGTACCCACTCTATTTTATGACCTCCGAGTCACCAGTTACTTTTATCGTATAAGAGAGATAGCCGTATTACTGGGATAGAAGCCCTCCATTTCTGAATACCACGCAAAGCCACGTCGTCTCTTGAAAATGAGAGGTGTTACTGGAAGGGCTGTGAGGAAGTACTATTCTGCAAATGGGTTTGGTGTTCTCAACCACCCTCATAGGCCAGGGCTATTTCCCGTTCCTAGTTTACAAACTTGCTTTCACTCAAAGCCCGCCTACAGAGTAGGCTACACATAAAAAACCAGTGGGGTTCCGACTACCCTTTTAACCGTTATTCGGTATTAGACTACGTCTGTCAGAAAGGATCCATGAACTAGTTAAAGATGGATAACACGGCAGTGTTTCGTTCCCAGCACATCAGAACCGACGGAGTTTGCGATAGCTCAGAGTTAAGGTGGAATAAGTTCATGGATCTTTCATAAAGGAAACTACTCACAAGGTTGCTGAAAACTCTTCGACAGCCCACGACCGAAGAGAGAGTTTTCAGCAACCTTGTGAGTAGTTTCCTTTATGAAAGATCCATGAACTTATTCCACCTTAACTCTGAGCTATCGCAAACTCCGTCGGTTCTGATGTGCTGGGAACGAAACACTGCCGTGTTATCCATCTTTAACTAAAGCTTGTCGGTGACTGTCTTTTGGGCAGTGGGTCGGTTACAAGTGGAATGCGTATGCAGTTCTCCGTAGTCAAATTCAACATGTTCAACTGCCTCATTTGACCTGGCCTCAAACCGTTTCACAAGAGAATTCTAATGAGGATTTAGTGCCAATCATTCTGACCTTACCATCTTTGATCAGGTGGTCGCGATTTGCTTGGCTTTAGACCATCTATCTTATCATATCAGCGGCGATTGTACTGATCACAAGACGATAGAGAAAAAGAGTTCATCTGTTAGCTTTTGTTCTGTAAATCTGAATTTAATAATGTAGCCGGACTTTTCCGGAAAACAAAGTCCGTTTTCAAGAAGACCGAAGAACTGACAAAACGATCGACACGTGATGCAGCCAAACTTACGAGAATTGGGTTAACTTTTTCCTTAGAAATATTGTATTTTTGGTTTATTAATTCAGGTAATCATCCGTTCCATGTACACGAAAGAAAAAACTGAATGCCATGGAGACCTATATCGGATTATGACATCTTATCCCAATACGCTGCGTCCTGAAATTCAGCCGTCCAAACTCCTTCTGACAGTTTCAAAGCAAAACATCTTCCGTTGAGTCTTCCATGAATTTTTGCTCTTTACTCTGCGCAGCATAAATCTTCATAGTTTTCCAATGGTTGTGAGCTCCGAAAATCTCCAGTCAGCTCCAGTAATCCAAGCAAGTTATGTGTCGAAAGTATTTACTTCAGTGCTGCGGGGCTTGAAACAAGTGGGTCGCAGCTCGGTTTTCGATTTACAGAAGATCCGACTCATTGCATTTCTTGATTAAAATCTGTCCTACAGCTACCGGTGCCACTGCGGCTAGGACAAAAACAAGGTCAAACGGATCGTGTCGAAGATCGAACAACGCAGATTACTCATGGTTACTGGCAACCGCTCATCACACCGTCTTGTGATGTATCTGTTGGTTCGCTCAAAGTTCTTTCTGTAGTAGTAACTAGAGCCTCTCCCATCCGATGTCCCTTAAACATAGGGCCATGGGTTCTCCGAAAAATGGTCCCAAAGGGTCCTCCACAAAAATGTTTGTAAACGGGTAACTTGTCACTGATTAGTAAATCAGCCAGGTAAATCAGTTACTTCTTACAGGTTCCAAAATGTAACTTTGGGCGGCAACTAAAGTCTGTGGATGTGTAACACTCTGATGTAAAATGTGGCACGAGTGATCGTGCTTCGTCCACCTAATGAACTTCAATCACGGTAAAAAACAACCGGTGCATTGGGTTTTTAGTCAGTTAAGTCCTTATTTCAAAAGATGAATTTAACAAAAATTGATCTGTATCCCCAAGGAAGAACATCTGGAAGGAAAGACTTTCGCATCGTTCTGCATACACTTGTACTTTGAGTGATCGCTTTTGCTTTAGGTATAAAAATTGTAAAAAGACGCGTTTGTGTCTACGCTACACTTATTTTCACCTTTATCTGAGTTTCTGTATATTCCATCATCCCCGTGACGTCCAGTTCGCCTCCTATTTGAATAAACGGCAACCCTAAGCATGCCCCTGTTTTGTGCTCTCGCGCGTTTGTCTTCTCCATTCACGCTCATGTCAGTCGAATCCATTCTAGAGCATTTCTGGATGCATACTAGTAACTACCTGTGAACCTTCGTCAACTGTAGGACCGTTTCATCCTCTGGGAAACGCTCTATAAAAAAACTCTGCCGAACTGGTTCAACTGTCCTGAATTCGAAGTGTACTATTGCTTACTTGCGACTTTGGATATTTGGAGACGTTTCTTAAGTTCCCCACACCATGTCTTATCAACGTTCCGTATAGACGCCATTCGTAAGTATATTATACAGTATTGTTGAGACTACAAACAACAGAACAGATCAGTCCAGTTACAGATCTTGTTCCTCTAATTGGCGCTCTTGAACGCAACGACCATAAGATTACATTTCATCTTGCAAACAAGTACAGATTTCAGAAACACTGTCCGAAAGATTCTCTTCAGTTCAATGTACTAAAACAGATCTTCCCCATTCTTATGTTTGATTGTTTGTTTGTTGTGTGTTGTGGTTTTCTATTTATATGTTGGTCTTTTGGTTTTCGGTTTTATCGTTGTCGTTATTGTTGTTGTTGTTGTTGTCTTTGGTGTTGTTGTTGTTTGTTGGATGGTCCATGTTCACAGTGTAGACAAGTCCACGTGGAATTTCTGCGCAGCTGTCAAACGTCATAGTCAAGTTGTTGTTGCTGGTGTTGTTTTTGTTGTCGGGCGTAAAAAAGATAGAGAAAAGAGGAGATGGCAACAAGCTTCCGCAGTGTCATGGCGGTCATTGTGACAAGCTCAAATGCGGGTTTAATTTTATGGAATGTAAATGAAGCCAGCAAAACACAGTCGCTCTGTACGCAACCACAAGCATCTGAATCCTCAAGCTGTGGGGCGCTCACGCTAGGACATCAGAGGAAAATACCGACATTTTGTGTGTAATTCTGTGGCTATTTCCTACACCGCATCACACCTATCGAATTGCGGAAAGTCATGATAAGCGCCCAAAAAAGTTGACTGTTTTGTTTCCTGTCCAATGAGTAACTTGATAGATCAGCGTCAAAACCAGTGCTTAGTTCCGGAACAATGGTCTGTATTCATTTTGTCCAACACAAAAACAAAAAAAACAGGCGATCTATATTCAAATTTGTGAGGAGTACTTTTGAAACTGGAGAGGTCACAGGGTAAGGTAGTCTTGTGTACTTTCTGCCAAACCAAGTGAACTAGTCAAGAAATACACCTGCTGAAGGAGCCTGACGAATCTGCGGACGGTAAAATTGGTCCGCCCATGGTTACAGGAGAAAGGAAGGACAATCAGACAACCATAAATGGTCCATCCAGTTCCTGAAGCGGATTTATTGTAAGTATGCTGCGGAAATGTCGTTAAAACTTCTAGCACTACACTGCTTTTCCGCAATACCGCCGATTGCCAGTCGTTAGCTTATTGTAGCAATCTGAACACTTAACCATTCATTCACCAGCGGTTCTTAAGTCCTGTGGTTAACTCGCAATCAGATAGGAAGGACGCCACTCACCATTCACAGCTGGTCACGTTACTCGAGTAGTCTGTCAGTATTGACCACGTGATGTAGGTTCCGTGAGTGAAGGATGAATGGCGCTACATCCTGTCAGTGCCAGTTTATCAGAATGCTGATAATCCGCTCGTGTTCAAACCACTAGTGAAAGGAAGAAGGTTCGAACATCCTCATCCTCAAAGGGTTGCGGCCACGGGATCTTCATCCTTATCCTGGTCACGGCACCAAATAAAAGGGAGAAGGCCTTCGCTGCGGAGCTATTTATTAGAAAATGTCAACTGACCGGTTACAGACTGTTGGACAGGGAAGCAAAACTCTCATTTGCATCTTATTCATACTACTCGCATGCCTCCCGATCAGTAATATCACCGTTACACTAGCAGGGAGGTTGAGGGTTCGAAACTCCCTACAATTTCGTGTGACGCGCACCGTTGAAGATTCCCAATAAGGATGAAACAGGTATATGGCGCTTATCAGCCTTTCAGCACAGACTAGCTTCATTTTCAGGACATAATCTAAAGTAAACATATTGTCTTAGTGTGAAATATAATTCAGTTCCCTTAGTTTGATGGGTTCATCGTAGTGCCATTTCTAGTGTTTCTTTACGGAGCTAGTCGGATTTCGCTGCTTTTACAATGGTTATCTTGTTCAAGATCTTGTGAAACTAAGATAAGTACAAAGTAGCAAAGTTTTCAATAGCTTTGATCTTTGGGATCATAAATTTCTCTTGTTCTATACTGCTGGGTGTGATTTAGCTGCAAAGATTTCACAGTACTAACATAATTCTTGAGATCCTAAGTAGTCTATTCCATTCTACGAACCTTTTCAAGCGTTCTTCAAAGTCTTCAACTCCGGTAATGCGTTTTTTTTATTTGACGTCGCTGTTTGAGCTACTGAATGCGTAAATCCTTCACTGGTCCACAAACCACTCTGGGAATCCGCAACTACATCTCTCAAGAAAGCTTGACGTGAATAGATAACAACAAACAGAAACGAAAAGCAAGAATGTGCGTTAGTGCTACAAAACAAAGCTTTCCATAATCACAGAAAATCCGCGACCAAAATTTTGCAGTCTGTTGAAAAATTGCGCTCTTTGATCAGCCGCATTCAGCTGTACTTTCAAAGTCAAATTTAATCACGCAATTCCTGAATATTTTAACACCCCTCACTCAAATATTTTGAGTTGAAAATGAAATGTATCAAAACTATACGGCTACCTAGGTGGTTTGTTAGAAAAGATTCCGTAATTTTCCACCCAGGTTTCCTCACCCAATATGGCACGCCCCATAGAACAGTAAATTTGTTAAGAAGAACAATGAAGAGCTGAACTCAGCTAATGAGACATTTCTGTGGACAGATGGTATCATGAATCGTGGATGGTTGATCCGTATTCAAGCCCGCCCATGAACTGACTCGAAAAGGATGTGAAGTATGTGCCCCAAGGGAGATTTCCTCCAATGTCTCATAACACGAAAGATTTGGGAGTGGGAATTCTAATCACTTGGTCATAGGACGAGCGAGGGTGAACCAGCCAATGCACGCTCGTGAGTTAGCCCGAATAGATTATGAGCCCTCACCACTGATCGAATGGTGGTTCCGTTCCGTTGGTCATGTGACCAAATACTATACGCTAGAAAGATAAATCGCTAACACAGCTGTTCAGAGGAGATGGGCGTTATATCAGAAAATACATTTAGTTCGTTGAGGAAAATTACGGAAAACTGACCGGTATCTGGACATTCCGGTCCAAGAAAAATCAACAGGATTTCTGCTACCAATGGAGCCGCTTATTAAACTTTTCGAGAGTAAGACCGATGTATGCCTTACGGACTCCTAAAGAGAGAAAGCACCTTCCCTGTCATATAACTTATGCGAAGATCCCGAAGTTTTAAAATGTATAAAAACAAGCAGAAAGTTCATGAAATCTGCTTGTATGGTCAACAAGTTGAAAGGGGTAGCGGCAAACCTTTGGGTCAATCATTTTTCTATGACGAAACACGAAGGAGGACAAATATGGTCAGTCCACCGATCTAGTCGATTCAGGGTCTTAGATGCAAAGCTAATTGACCGACGTTTTCAATATGAAAAGCAAGCAAGAATGTGCCCGGTGCGAGACATAAAGGGTGGACTGTAAACGACAAATTTCCGAAGCTAAATTTCTTTTTGTCACGCTCATAAACTATTTTAAATCTGACGACGAAATCGGATGCTAACTTTGATTGCACAGTACTCGAAGAGGTAAGGATAAACTCTCAGTAGAACAGGTGGTACATCACCTGTTAACATCAGGTGCACCAGTGTTCCAACCGGTTAGTTATTACTACTGTTATTAGTATCCTCTTGACTTGTTAGGTCAGATATTAGCGATTCAGCTGGGATTTGGGTGAACCTCAGATTAACAACAACTTAATTAGTGAATGAGCGTATTCACAACTGTTACTAGTTCATTTCATTGACTGCTCGTTTCCTCCTCATGTTAGAAGGCTCTCTTTTGATGTGCATTTTCACTTCACATATCAGTGACCTTCGGATTTTATGTTACAGCCTGCTTAGTTATGCTATTTATGAAATAGTTTTTACCACTTCGGGCGAACTACAGACATCGAGGTCCGAATGTCCATAACTGACTCAACCACAGCCGATTTGTCCACTGGTCGAAATATTGGGTATTCAGCTAACCGAATTCGCTTAGCCTGATTAGTCTAGTCATGGAGGATTCAAAGATAAGGCTCGACTGACGGTTCAACGGTTCTCAGCTAGTCCAAGCGATTCCAGACATCTGTTCATCGACAGGACAAATATATACAGTCACTTTGGGTGATTCAGATTCACGATTTAAGCCGTGAAATAAAGCGTTCATTATGCTACGGCTATCAGATTAAATTACGCGGAAATGATCTCAAGAAAAGTTTGGAGTGAGGCATACCACTGCCATTCATCAAATATCAGCTCAGCTAAGCACCTGTAGGTCTTTGCACTGCATGTATCCGTAACAGGATATTCATTTGCGTCTCATATTAACACCATCTCAATATCCAACTACGCGTTTATTTCCAACTGCGTTGGAGTGAGACGGCATTCAGGTTAGGAATAATATTGATAGAAATCCAGCGATTACAGTTAACCGATAAGTTCCAGAGAAAGCACAACGAAAAACCAGGTTGTGTTTTGAGTTGTATTACGCTGTTTACAACTGTGGACATTACTTAAATAGTACAAATAAAGTCCTCCCTCTGGAGAGGCCGTTTCAGGGACTCAGCCACAAGTTGTCCTTTCTGCAAGATTGTCTGATCAACAAGGGGATTTACTACTGAAGGGCGCCAAGGAGGAACAACCGAAATCGACTTATTCTACATAGTAGCCTTAGTTGAACGTAGTTACTTGAGGAAGGGATCATTGCATCTTGGAATACTTCAAAGTCGCCCGTAACATGAGTGTCATCAGGATGAGAAGTGGGTATAAACTTCATGGAACCCATAGCGATATCAAATCAACTGAAAAAGATCAGCGAATGAGTTGACTTTGCCAAGCTAACTGTGGACTCCTCCTTAATTATGAGCACCTTCAGAAAAATGCCACCTTCCGGGCTTCCCATGGATGATCTCAGTACACGGTAACCAGAATCCCGATTGCATCCGCCCGGTTAACGATCTAGTGCTGTTCGTGTTACTACCGATGCGGGACCTACTAGTTTTTCTTTTGTTAACCAAGGCAGCAAATCAGAGGATGTCTCGTCTGTTGTGGCCGCCTAGATTTTGG